TGTGAAATCACTGCAAATGGTGCGTCTCAATTTGACTGCATCGAATGATTTCGCCTGTTCTATTTTCGGCTACCTCTTTGCTAATCGTTATCAAATTAGATTAGTGAACTTTGCCGAATTCACAAAAAAATTTCATTCCTGAAATTCTTAAGGACTAGGCGATTGTGAAGTAGAAAGCATTATGCTTCCTACTGTTCTTATTGCGTGTTGCGTGGCACTTTTACATTTCCGAAGATATCTGGAGATAGTTTCTGTGTACATCACGCTCCCTTCCTCAAATCCAATTTCAAACTGCATCAGAGCCTGATTTAACATCAGAAACTGATCTAGATCTGAACCAAATGAGGAAAGTGCTGATCATTTGATTCAATGAACTTCTGCAAGTTTTCACATTGATTTATTAAGTTAGCTAGACTAGGAGTACATTTCAAACAAATGAACTTAATCGCTCACTACCATCTTGATGGCTCCGTTCAGAAATTATCTCGCCTAGTACCTCATTCCGTTGATATGCATCCGTCCGAAGTTCACACCAAACACTCGTGTATCTCCAATAGTACTAGCCCGTAATAACATTTTCAACGATAACCCCATAAATCATGTTTATACTAGCAGTATTAAACTTAATCGTAACAATAACAATAGCACCAATAATAATACGAATAATAACACTAACGATAATTATCCAAAGAGCAACAATAAAATGCCGGAAACAATTTTCAATGTGATTTCATATCTGCGGTCTGTCCCTATATTGTGACGTATCAAATTAAATTCTCTTCAACAGCAATTTTACACCATGCAATTCGTATTCGTGTTTGTTTATCAAATGAAATCCCGAAGAACTTTAAACATTTAAACAGGTCCAAAATTTGTTCGCTCCTATAGATATAGATCCAAAAGGCAATGAACAGCTCCAATTTGTTATCTACTGCTGCTGCATTCAATAATAATTGTTTATTAACTATATTCACCAATGGCTATTATAGCTAATAACTATATTGGCGAAAGATAAGTGACACATATGGCCAAATAGCCGACTGAATATGACCAAGCATTATCGCAGTCAGCTATTCTTATTAAAAATTCAGTGAAAGTTTCCCATTAACATATTGATGTCATGTGTCGCCGCTAAACGCTTGTTTGCTCAATCCAATTGCTCACCCATTTTCTCATACATTCAGGTAAGTGTTTGCGACGTCAGCTATGATCCATCAAGCATAACTCTTTATTCGTTCATTATTATAATCATCTACTATATTAAAATTATATAGTAAGTCCTTATCTATCCATCTATTAATCATCTACTATATCATCTGTATTAAAATTTATTCCCTTTTGGTAGTTCACATTGTTTTTATTCGAACACATGCACATTTTATGATTACCAATCAATCTTACTCTATTGCTAAGTGTTCATCATTTTTTGTGACCATATTTAACAATTGAGTGCATGAAAATAAGTGTATCAAGCGAAATCCAGCTAATATTCCTTGATGTTATCTCATTTCTCGATATCCTTTTTATCCGTTTATTTAGTGATCTAATAATTTGACTGATGATCGGTTGCAATAGATTCTCAATCACTACACTTCATATTATATTCGGAATTTCTGAAGTCATATATCAGTAACTCGCTGAAATCCCATTTGATCACGGTTTTGATAACTTCTCGTAATCATGCTTCTCCTCATCACTTCGCTGTCTGTTACCTCAACTTGTGAACAATTACAATTTGATTATCATCTACTCAGTGCTGAATGCTATCAACATGTTTATTCAGTTATATGCAATCACCATAATCTTATCAGCATTGAATTTATCAGTCACACAACTGTTCATCACATGAGTGTTAAAATTATCTTAAGTGATCGCTGGCTAATCACCTGAATGAATAGATTAGCGATAAAGTCGGATAATTTGTTACTGATTCAATGACATTCATTGTCTGTTCATTGAGTTTGCAACACAACGTCTGCTGGTGATTAATTTCCTGTCGGTGTTGTTGTTGTTATCGCTGAAATGTTATTAGATTATCAGTGCTTCGTTTTTATTTTATAGTAATTGTTGCTATTTTACTGTGGTTGACGCTTAGACTCCTCAATTTGGACTTGACTCGCTCCAATCACATCAGACAATAATAGCAATGGTGACGAAGCGATTTCCGCGTTTGAACTGCTCATACGATTGCAAAGTGCATGAGAAAGTGCTGGTGTCTATCAAATATGAACTGTTCTGTGATCATATCGAAATTTTCGCAATCTAGGTTGATTTGAGCATATTTCTCCACCGATTCGATTGTCATTAGTTACATCGTTTCGTAATCAGATTAATTAGAAGATAAATTCGTTGATCGTCTTATCCGAGAGTATATACGTATTGATTTGTGATATGAATCCTCATGAAAATTTTTTTGATGTGAGATCGTTTGAATGAATTTTTCAAACGGAGACTGTGCTCTCAAGCTATGATTTGGCTGATCTTCTTCACTTCTTCCTTTGGACAGCCACTCAGATGTTAGGAAGAATAATTTCTTTTTGATTGATTCTAAGAATTGAGCTGCGAGAGTGATTGATTTAAATTTCTTACATTTCCATCATTTCTTCTCGATTATTTTCTCGATTTTGCGAATGTTTTCTGCAATCTTTACATTCTCGAACACGATTCTTCACCATTCTGGATCACTATTGATTCTGTTGGTAGATACCCATAAGATCATGAAGAGAGTTTGTTTTCAGCTGTGTTTTTACGGTTAATGTAGTGCGATTCAGTGTCGAACAAGATTGATTATTGAATTATCTGTACCCAAGCTAACAGGTGGCAATTCATTTCCTAATCAATTTCAGTAACTGATTTGTTTATGGTGATGAAATACTTCTTAAAGAAGCCTCCTCGTAAATCATTTGACGATGAACGCAGTGAGATTTGGTTTCTTTTGACTTTATATAGGAGTGAATGTTAATTGATTCAATACTTATTGAGAATGTGAGGTAAGCGCTCGGAATGCTTGCATAAATAATCATCTTCTTGGAATGTTGCTCCTCATAGACGGATAGAACGAGAATGAACTTTCTGACGAGAATTTTGAATTACAACGGGTGAATTGAGCAGATTTGCCACTTGATGTTGACCGATATGTTTGTGGTCATGTTCCATAAACAGTTGTTGATCAGGGCCTTTCGGTTCGTAGGGAAATGATTCTTTTCATATTATCAACGAGGCCACTTTTGATAGTAAACCTCGTCCTGTTCATTAAATCAGTGTCATGCCTTGCTATGCATTATTTTAGGGTAAGGAATATAGTCAGATGGGGAAGCAACGGATTGTATGTCATAAAGGCGATGTACTGAGGAGGGGGCTTATAGACCGTGATAGTGTGAGAACCACTTCTGGTAATGTGTATTCAAATGAATATTCATTGAACATATGGACTAATTGAGCGAGCCAATGAAGAAATGAATTGCTTCAAGATGTTAACTTTGTTTGGCCGGGATGATCGCCTCTGAAGGGATTTCGAATGCAAACCAAAAGACTAGTTCATGGCCCATATCTCTGTTGCTCTTGCGATCCACCATTAGGGTGGTAGGTCTTACTGGAATCCACCATTAGGGTGGTCAAAATAGGATATGTTGCCTCTCCATGCCTTACATATCATCGAAGGTTCTCTTAAGTGTTCATACAAGGAATAACCAATAAAATAACACATCATTACTTGTTCAAATTGAATTACTACCTCGCTATTTCGAAGGAATCGTAGTGGAAGTGTATTATCATTGATTGTCAGCATATATCTCGTTATCCATATCGCTTTCATCACTGTGTTCATTAGTGTTTCCTCCGTGAAAATTAGTGACGTTGTTATTGTTATGATGATAATTGTTGTTGTCATTATCAATAGCCAGATAATGAAAATTTGAATGCTTACATCACTTGAACGAAAACAACACTCAACAACATCCACTAAATGTAATTCGCTCATTACTGTGATCAACACAAAGCATTCCCATTCATTTATACATGTGTTGTTGTTTAGTGCTGCTTTTCATCAGCTGCTTTCGAAAAGCCAACAGCATTCGTGGTCATTTATTTATTTAGTTTACGTTACATGAAATATTAACTTCTTCATATAACTCATTTGAAACATCCTCTTGCTAACTTACATCTGCTCAGCTTAGCTTACTCTGATCACCCAAGATGGTAGACATGATAGGATAAGCGGTGCTCTATCCGGGCTAAGTAGATCAACTAGTATTATTTACTTGTTATATCCGAGGTATCTTCCAACAAAATAACTTATCATAAACTTAAATTCGCACCCTATTTATGCATTTTTCTTCAATTCACTTTATATCATCTTGACGCATACGTGTAGAGAAATTGGATCTTTGATAGTGATCAATGTCAACTGTGTTGAGATGGCCACCTCAGTTGACGTAAGTATTCGCTGCCTTCCTGAAATCCTATTCCATGTTTACCTTAGCTGTCACACAACAGCATTAGAGTGCGGGATCATTGTGCATTCTTATCGAATCGCAATTCATCAGCATATCATGGGGATGATGGGGTTATTGCAGTTATAGACTAAGTGCATTCTTAACAGCCTGGATACAAATTCCTCGTATTTCTGAAAGTCTTCTATGATACTTCATCTGTTCTCATTGTTACATCTGTCTGAGGTACTTCATATAAGCCTCCTATGTTCTGTCTAAATTAACTACGTGAATTGGTATAAGTTTGATTATGTGATCGTGTATTCAACACGCTTTTCCCGTCGACTTCAACCTGATATGTATTGATCAGTCGAGTTGATTCTTGTGTGGCTCAATGAAATGTTCCGACTTAAACGATTATCAGTACTAAAATTTCAGAGACAGCGAAAGTAGCACAGGGACGAGAAGTACAGTTGAGCCACTGATACTAGACGATTACGACGAACGAAACTGGTTCGGTGACAGCGGGGTGCCCGACCCGGGACGTGATCCCATCGCGCAGGCGATCAATCTCCTCGCTAGGCCCGACACCATGGGCAACCTCGAGGCTCTTATCAGGTCAGTGACGCGTGATCGTTCACACATCCTTTCTTGCTTGATGATGCTGATGCTGTGCGTGCAACACATTTAGTTGATCGTATTCATTTAGCATATCACACAGTCCTAGTGCTTTTTATCATTTCAGCATATCAATTTGAGCAAAAATTAAGAAATTCAGTTGCGGCTGATATGTCAGACGGATTGACGACGCTAGCAGCAGCAGCTTTTTGATGGCAATGAATTTAGTTTCTGTGCGAAGAGTTTGACAGTGGGATTCAGTGAAAGATCCTGATATTGTAACATTACAATATTGTAGTATTGTAACGTTGACTGAAATATTTGTGTATACTTATCATTTGATTGGAAGAAAACATTTCTGATAGAGGAATAATGAAATGGATCTCTTATTTGTTAGAAATGACAATATTTTCTTGCTGCCATCTTTGCGTTGTCTTTATTCGTCGGTTTTTCTAATGTTTCGGAATTCTGCTCCAGCATCTCAGAGAAAGATTGAACGTACGGAATGAGAATGGAATGTGAAGCCCAAATTGATAGTCATATAATATAAATCATCATGCGCCACACAAAAGTGAATTCAATTCAATCGTTGTGAAGATTCCGTGTCAGCTTCTTTCGAAATTTATCACAGTTTTGTTGAAGATCTCCGAATATATCACCAATAAATCTCTATTACACTATCAAGTTGGCAATAAAACTTTTCTGTGACTGGAAATTATTCAAGCGTCATTGATTCTCTTGTGAAATCACGTATCCAAATGTATTCACCAGCCATCCAAACATCTTTTCAAACAATATCTTTGCTGTACATTTTGATGCGCCACTGGAGTGCAACAATTTCTTTGTCGCGGTTGGTTTGATGAATGAGCGACGGCGAATGTCGCATTCATTTGGGCCTTCCGACCACTGAAAACAATCCAAGTGAAACTTTTTGAGTGATAAAGTACCGTTCGCATTCATAATTCCAAATTGTACTCCGAATCGTTTGATTTTTGAATTGCATGCATTGATCGAATAAATTGAAGCCCATTCGTTGCGAATGAGAATTTTAAGTGAACCACTCTGAACAACCTAAAAATTTCTGTTCGAAACTTAAAACCTATTGAAATTTCAAACAATTTCCATTGGACTTTCTCTTTGCATATGCATTGTATTCGTTTCGTTATGCATCTTTTTCGATGTCCATATTCGTGCTGATACCAACAACGAAAACGAATCTTAAGCTGGCTGTTCGTTGGAAAACACGATGCATTTTGTGATTCTGAGGCTAATACATGATTTGGTCAGTGTAGAGATTGACAAAATGTTTGGTAATTTTCGAAAATTTATGCAGTCGAAATCCATAGGTTAATGGTACCTTGACGATAAATACAATTACAATGGAATGATATTTCAATGGTTTTTCAGTCACACTTGAATATTACAATATTGTACCATAATCACACCAATAATTACACCATATGATTAGAATTTGATCACGACTTGATCACAATGTTGATTTTATCATTTATATGTTTTGAAACCTTATCATTTTCTAGGTTTTTTTATAGATAAAGGCCATAGTAGTGTTTCTCAATGTGGGTGTGGAGTTGAATCAGCGTACCTTAGATTGGATTGGTGATTCATTGATTGTTAATCTGAACTGAGTGTATTTTTATCATTATCGTGGTTGCTTTCGTGCTGTTTCGTAAGTCTTGCTATTGTTATCAGGAAACTTTTTTGCACATATTAATCAAATCAATCAGACGTGTGGTTTGAAATCAAGTAACAGCTGATTGTGAGTTAAATCATTAAAAGCAATAAAAACAATGAACAACCAGACAGCCGAAAACATTTACCTGAGCATTTTACATTGCGTGCGATTACATCTGGCTTGAACTGGTTTCAGTGGCCTTTCGAAGTATGCATGATGACCACTTGCAGAGAAGCACACTTCCATTTAAGCGTCTTGTGGTTTCATGACAATCTGATTGTGGTCCTATAGGTCTATGTCGCCATTCCATTGCAATAGTTTTTGTTTTTCTGAATCAGCCGATGTTCTCGGAAGATTTGACAATAAATCATTGTCGAGAGCCTTTTTAGTGGAAAAATTTATTGATACTACATGTGGGACTGGGATATTTCGAAGAACATGGCGAAAGTCGCAGGATGAAATCAAAATATCCTCATTGTCAGTAAATGTTCACCTTTATGTGATGTTAACCATGCGAGCTGTATGATGTTGTGACTGCTGGCTCGTCTGATGAATAACAAATAAATTAATCACCGAAGAGAATAATGCAAAATTCGATTGTTCTGCCAGCAACATGATGAGACATTTTGAGATATGGTTTATTTGTTTTTCCAGCCATTGTTTATCGACGGATACTTATCGACTCGACTGATAGATTATGAGCATTCCCGGTTGTTGGATTTATCGAACGTCTCAGCACATTCATTTGTTGGATCGTCAATGAGAACTCATTAGCATTAGCAGTCAGAGCACAGCTGAAGGTGATTAATCTCACAAGATATGAATTGCTTAGTCGACATATGCCTTTTTTTCATTCCCAAAACATGTTTGTTTGCAGTGTAAAGACAAAAAATGCCCTAGTCATCCATATGCAATGAGCCATCACAATTTCGAAATGGGACATGTTGCATGGTTTGTTCGAAGTGCAATGCGAACACATGAAAAATAACGCAACCAAGCTGCTTGTTCTTGATTCAGTTTTGAGTCATAAATTTCAGAATTTATCCGTTCGTTTGAGCAAACAAACTAAAATCTCTTCAATATTAGATGTTTATACGGCATTCAGAGCGTTTAAAGCGCAATATCACTCTCTACGAAATGCTATCCACGAAATTTCCCATCTTGACCTTTGCATTGAGAATTTTCTGATTGTGAGAGCACAAAATTTGACAGATTATTGCAATAAGTCGGTACAAAGATTGACTTGTTTGCTGGTACCTCAAGCAGATAGCTGTGTCTGTTAGAATCGTAACACTGCATAATACCAACGGTTGGTAGGTCGATTTTGAGGAAGTTTTTGAAAACCTCAGTTAAAATAGTGACTATCGAAGTTGAGTGAAGCAAGACTATGAGTGAAGGGGCACTGAGATTTGTCCAGTTCTTTGTGTCAAGCAGTGGAATAAGAATGGCTGCGTTTTGATGCTAGCCATTAACTGAAAAGGACGTGTGGAAGAGAAAGCCGAATCACCCTGAGTGGACTATCTACTCGTTATCTAAGAGATCGAATGTTTAAGTCCTGTTGCGGAATGCCTTATCGCTCTCCTGAATTGATTCAATTTGAACTGCAATATCATTAGAAACTGCAATATGAGGTAGTTTTGCAATGGACTCAAAACATTAAATGATGATGCTTGATTCGAAGTGGAATAACTGTTGAAGACTTGCGGTTGTATGCAACTTTATGGACAAAGTGAGGTTGGCAAGTGTTTGCGAGCCTCAGTTATGCAGGTTATAGCCCAAGCGATTGAGTGCATCAAGAAATTCGATACTCGTAAGAAGGTGCTCATTTCCTTGAATCGATACACGAACCAACGATCAGACGACGAAAGCTTCGGGAAATTCGACACTTGAGTGTTGCAAATTTTTGGCTCATTGTGTTAGCAAAGCAAGAAATATTTCTCTGTTTTTGTAACGTGATAGTTTTATCTATCCGAATGAAATCAGGTGTTGTGAGCGTATTCAGTTCGGTTTGGTAACGTCGAAGTCAATATTTTAATGCCTACGAATAACGGTCTTGCGTCATATAAGTGAACAATCTTGCCGGAAATATGCTGATGTTTTGGGGGTTATAAACGGTGAGATTCATTTTTCCAGTAGAAATTACAGAATTTCAATCGGTTCCACGATCGAATAGAATAGTTTCATTCCTTCGAGGTAGATCATTTTTACGTTTTACCCTTTGTATTCTCATATTGTGCACAACACCATTTACTTATTGATTCATATGTGGTTCTAGGCATTTGCAGACGAAACGAAGCATAAAATTTCGATAAATTAACTTTTGAAAAAAGTTGTGTTTATTCAGATTGTTGGGCATCAAAGTACTTCTGCGAGAT